CGGGTTTGGTTTAGGGGTAGGCTTCGGGTTTGGTTTAGGGATAGGGTTAGGGTTAGGTTTAGGGTACTGAGTGCTTGGGAATGCGCGGATTTGCCCTCCACGATTATGTCATCACGGTAGGGTCACGTTTTTCGAACGGCGCGATTTAGTCTTCGCGCATATGTCTCCGCGGATAAGGGCTTCGCGGATTTGTGGTGGAACCGGATCCCAGCCATTGCATTACCATCTTGTGTGAAATGGGCTATTATTAAATCATAACTTGATTTATTTTTAGCAGAGCGAGTTAAGTGAGCCCAGCAACTTTGTTCTGCGAACTTTGATTTTGGGTTAAGGTGCTGGGTGAAGCCAGCAGTGGCTATCGCTTAGTTTGAATGACTGAAAATATACCATTTTCTGGAATCACACAATACACCCAACCTAAATTAACCAAATGAGTTTGATTCATCCAACAGACTACCCACAAAAGACTAATCAAAGTTACCCCCCTGTGAATACAGGGGCGACGTCTTTTTACCTGACCTGGCCAGACACTGGGGGGGGGGACGCTTACAACCTTACTGGGGAATGTTTTGATTCCTTGGCGGCGCCTCAGAAAGGAGCGAGGCGGCCACTCCTTTCGCAGCCAGCAGCTCGGCCCCCGCCTCAAACACGGCCGGTCTCCCCTCCTCTCCAGCTCCTCCTCCGAAGGGGCGGTCTGCGCAGGCAAGGGGGAAATAGCCGGGCAGCACCGCTTGCTCGGTGTGCTCCTGCCCGGCCCCTATCAGCCCCTGGAAACCTTCCTTTTGCACCCTCCCACCTGCTCCTTCCGCCCAGTCCACCCGCCTATAAAAAGAGGGGTTTGGAGCTGGCAAAAAGAGACGGCGAAGGAAGCGACCGAGGGTGCTTTTAGTGCTGCTGAAAGCGGGCATCGCGTTGTAAGAGCGCTCGGCTTTTAGACCGGCCGGGGACCTTGTTCTTGGGAAGAGGAAACGGGCTTTATCTGGACTAACCGGGGGGCGGGAGGAGACCCATTCGCGGGGTCGCCATGGAGGTGAGCGCGGCGCGGACGTCGTCGAGCGACATCGCGGACCTGAATAGCCAAGACGCCCAGACGGTGTGCGAAGCGCTGGGCCGCTACGAAGAAACGCTTCGCGGCGCGGTTAAAGAGATCCACGTGGATATCCAGGTCTTCAAGAACGGCGTGGACCGACAGGTGGCCGAAGTGCTGCGCTTGGCCAACCCGCTGGCCAGCACCGTGGCCGAGCTCCAACAAGAGAACCAGCAGTTGCGGACGCAGGTCGAGCATTTAACGCAGCAGGTGGAGCTCCTCAGCCGGGCAGCCGGACTCCCGGACGTCTTGATCTCCAAGCCGGCATCTCCGACGGCGTTCGCGGCATCGCCGAAGCTGGGCAGCAGCAACAGCAACAACAGCCGCTTTGCCAGCCACGCTAGACTGTCCCTTTCCAGCAAGAGTCAGGTAAGCGTTGTGGCAGGAGCGGGAAAGCGCCGTCCGCGAGGCAGCTTGCATGCAGAAACAACTTAAAGCATGGATCTCCTGCCCCGCGTGGAAGGGATCCCTGGCGCGCTGTTGAGCCGGTCGGTTGCCCTCGGCCCTTCTGCCCCCGAGCTTTGGTCAGATCTATGGCTTTTTCTCCCCCTGACCTCCAGCGCCCCCTTCCCTCCTCTTTCTTCCCTGTTTACATGACTCCCTCCCTCTCCTCCGCCTCCCCCCTCCGTGCGATTTAACTTCTGCTTTGCAGCTCCACCCAGAAGGTCGCAGATAGGAAGAAGGGGCTCTCGTACGCTCCGTCGGGGAACGTCCCGCGCCGCGCGAAGATGCCACGCCCCCTCCCGAACCTGGATCTTTCAATCTTAACCAAACGTCCAGGGCGGAGCCGTGGAAGCTTTCTGGAGAAGTCCCGGCTAGGGACTTCTGATCCTTTCTGCTGTTGGATTAGTTCTCCTGGGAATCCTTTCGGGTTCAATGCTGGGGCGGATTTTGGGATGTGTTCGGAATCTGCGGGCGTTTTGTTGCGGAAGGGGTTTGTTTGCGGGCAATTCGTTTTGGGCAATTCGTCCCGCCCGCCCGGTTTTGAGGGGTGGGAGCGCTCCCTTGCGAGCGCGTTGGCTGCTTGCGCATGACTGAAACTGCGATCTGGTTGCTGCTAGGCGGGGCGATGGTGGGCTGGGAATTTCGGAAAATTAGAAGGGGCAATGTCGCCTTGCCGTCGCCCAAGCAAAAAAAATAAAAATAAAAATAAAATAACAACCCTCCTTCTTAAACAGATTAACTTTGAGATTTTTATTTCGGATCAGGCTTTCCTTAATCACAGACTTGATTTCATCGCAACGATCAAACTTTGGGCGCAGGTATAAGTGTGCCTTTAAGCGTGATCATAATAGATCCTCCTGGCTTGGAAAGTTTTTCCAGACATGAGCCTTCAGTAAAAGAATTGGAACAAATCCTCTGTTGAAGGAGAGATGTTCAGCCAGGAGAAGGGACAATAAGAAGCAATGGAATCTTTCTCTTCAAGTATTTAAAGAGCTTTACTGTACTACCAGATTTGCTTCGTGTTTCAGGACCAGCGAGTTCATATTACAAGGAAGGGTTTATATATGGGGGCTGTGCTAATCAACAAAACCTTTGGGCTTTCAATAAAATGTGTTAGGCTGAAAAGATGCCACTGGATTCCTTCTGAAATAAGATGGTACAATCTGTTTGAGAATGGAGCAGGCTGCTTTGTTTCATGCTGTAGGTTTGTAGTTCAGCATGTTGTAGAAATCCAGTAGGTTGTGTGAACCAGACTTAAAGTGCTTTATTTGTTTGGGCCTAATGTGCTTTATGAATATGCCGACTGGGATTATGCTTTATTAACCAGGTATGTTGTATCAACTCAGCCACACTCTTGTAAGGTGGTGATTCATTCACTAGAATCTTTCAAAGATGAGCCAGGAGGGAGTGTTTTCTGCAGCAGGGAGCTAATTACACAGGACCTTTGAGACCGTCTCCAACTCGGTTGTGTGAATCATGGTTTTCTTCTTTTTCTCCCACAATCCCCCTGAATGAGACGTAGTTGACTGGAGCAGCTGCCTCCTTTTTCTGATTTAGCCTGTTGCCCAGGGATATTTGAGTAAAACAGTTGTGCAGACATCTGTCCAATATAGAGTTGGCTTATTGTACTTCACATAAGAGATTCCCTTTTCCATCTCAATAGATGCTTCAGACAAGCTCCTTTCACTCAAATTTTCAGATTGCGAATTAGGTTTTTTTTTTTTTTTTTTTTGCAAACACCAAGTCAGTGAAATACCCTATGGCTGCTCTATTTGCCCAGTATGCTAAAATTTCTTTGTGTTCACCTTGGGCTATTTTTGAGGCTTAATAATGTTGTCTAAAAGTACCAGTTTATGGCTTTGAGTGAAGTTAGAGAATGGATTAACTTTGTAACTAAGTTCAGTAGGTTGTACAGAGGGAGAACATTACACCTAGATTATTTTACGATGCTCTTCAAAGACAATGGGGAAAAAAGAATGTGACTTGTTGTACTGTTCATCCATATAAAGTGGTTTAGAATGACTGAAGACCATCAGGAAGACTTTCACTCAAATAAGCATAATCAGTCCCCATACATCTGAGATAGCTTTGATGATTTGATTATGCACTATCAAGTTTTTTCTCAACTCCTAGCGCCTACATAGACAGATTTTCCCCATGACAAATGGTCTCTAATCTATTCTTCTAGGTCAAGGGTGTCAAACTCGATTTCATTGAGGGCCACATCAGGGTTATGTTTGACCTAAGGGGCCCAGAGTGGGCGTGGCCAGCTTGACATCACTCATGTTGGAGAGCCTGTGGTGGCCTGAGCCAGCAAAAACGGGTTCCCGAGTTCTGTTTTTGGCTGCAATGACCTCCTGCAACCCTCTACTAGTGAAAACGGAGCTCGGGAGCCCGTTTTTGCTGGCAGAGGCACTGTGGGCCAGTCCTTAGCTGTTTCCAAGGTTGGCCCCTGGGCCAGATCTAAGCATCCCGTGGGTGGCCTCTGGGCCTTGAGTTTGACACCCCTGTTCTAGGTCTTCCAACAGTACACTCATTGCCACTGTTATTGAATCCAACCACCTTGCTGCTAGCCATCCTCTTCTCTTTCCTTCTACCCTTTCCTAGCATTAGAACCTTTTCTAGAGAGAAAGATCTTTGTATCACCTGTCCAAAGTAGGATAATTTGAGTCATTTGTGCCTTGAAGGAGACCTCCAGGTTGTTTTGTTTGGTGAGACATTCATTGGTTTGAGTTGTTTGGTTGTCCGTGGTATTCTCAGCATTAAAATTAAAAATCATATATTGGACAAAAATTTGGAAATGGGTGCAAGAAATTACAGGAGAACACATAAAATACAAACCCGAA